CAAGAACTCTCTCTCTCTCTCTCTCTCTCTTTCTAATCAGGACCATAGTTATATAATATTGCCAATGGAAACTTTTAACTTCTAATCAAGTGTCACTTGACTCCACAAGTTTTCATTTATTTATTTGTTCTTCCCTTTCAGGGAAGTAAGTGGTGCTTAGAAAACATGACTTCAAAGACTTTATTCACAGACTAAAACAAACACCCAATAGTTTAAACTCTGATAACATCATTTAGGGATCACTTGACTTTGTGTATTCAGCTGGTTATGTAGGGAGAATCTATTGTACCACACTAAAATATACTTTATAAAGGCCCTGATTTTTGCTATAGACTGTAAAATAAAATGCATAATTTATAAAATAAATTTTTAAAAATTTCCACTTTGATCCTGGCTGTTTAAAATATCATTTTTTGGGATTTAATGTTGAAAAGGAATAAACCAACATAGTAGAAAGCTTTTAGATAATTCTCTTAAAAGAATAATTATGCTGATATGTTTTAGAAGAGTAAATTGTAATTTTTTCACACAATCAAATTTCTGCTTAATTTATGTTATTATCTGAATGTGAATAACATTAATATCAGTAAGAAGAAATTTGATTGTCTGAAAAAAATAGAATATATTAATTATGTCATCTACCTGGCAACATCTGGCGATACCTCCACCACCAGCTCCAATGCATTGGTGCCATTTTCATCAGACATATCTACTTTATTGTATAAGGCTGAAATTGATATTGCCATATTAAAACTAAAAATAAAATAAAACTATAAATCTGACTTAATCTTTTTTTCCAAATAGTTAAATGCAAATGAAGCTTTTCCAATTAATGTTATATATGTAGACGTGTGTGTACAAGTCATTTCTTCACTTATATTATACACTAGTATTTTGCTTTGCTTCTCCCTGGGTGCCCTAGACTAAGCTAAGTTTTGTAAATACATTGGGCATCTGTGAGAGAAGGATGATTAGTAAACTGATGTCATAAATGGTTATTAACTTCTGTTAATTCAAATTTTTTTATTATAAACTTGGGCAAATTAAATTGGTCTTCTGTAGTGATTTGATATTTAAAATTATCTTTATTCTTAGTGCAAAAAAACAATTTAACTAAATAGTAGGTTGGCGAAAAATTTTATGTTATTTTGGCAAAACTTTTATTCATCAAAATTCATAGCATCATTATGATTCATTCAATCATTATATTATTTACCTTGGTTCAATATGTTGTTTCAGGTAAACTGCCTCTTTAATCATAATTGAATTTTATATTGAGGTGATTTTTTAAAAAATATTTTCAACATTTCAAGAAGGGAAACAAGTAATAGTCAGGGGTTTGGAAAATAATCTGCATGCAAAAGAACTTCCCATCATAAAACCACAATTGCTTGCTGCATCATATTTGCAATCTGAGAACAGAAATTGTTATGTAGCAAAGTAACCAGTCAACTTTCTTGCCCAGAAATAGACCTTTGCATCTCTAATGTGTTATTCAATTGAGCCAGTTTCTCATTATAATATTGTGCAGTAATATTAATGTTAATTTTTATATTTCATCTTATTTTTTTTTGTTTTTCATCTTGACTTTTTTATTTTTATCACAACAAAAAAACAATTGTAATATCAACAACAACAACAGTAATAATAATAATAGTTGACAATGCTTTATTCAATAAAAAAACAAAGTAAAAAATAATACTGCAGCACTGTAGATGTTTTCCAAGCTCCATGAATTCATAATGAAAAATTTCCTTTAAATCCTACAAAACACAAGAAGGAACTTTATGAGTATTTAGAAAACATGTCTATATATAATGAGTTATTTTTTTAAAACAAACAATTTTTATTAGTTAGAAAATAAAAATAAAAAATATATTCATTCTCGCACCACTTTGGAGGTTCTCAGGTAAAGGAGAAAATCCAAGAACACAAATACTTTTGTTTGTAATTTTTTTAATGTTTGTGATGAGCTTTAAGCAAGAAAATATGTCCAACAATATAAAAAATGATTTTTTAAAAATGTTATCCTTTATATTTTAAAATTGTTTAATAGACAAGTGTTAGATAGATTGTTTGCAATATACTCATATATATTCTCACACAACATTTAACTAATGGTAGGAGATATCACAAACAATTAGTAACCAACCAGATAACTTTAAAAATAGATATAACACTCATGCAAGTTTTCTAGAAAAGAAAGAAAATTAGTTTGATTTGAGAGAGTTTGATTTGGGTGAACATAGTGGAGAACATATCACATGTTCATTGGCATATAATAATTAATTAATTAAATTATTCTATTTAGTTTTCAAAATCCCTAAGCTTATGAGCTGGTAGTTAATTCAAGAACAATTAAAAAATGTAAGCCAATAACCCAAGAAAGTCAATAGCACAAAATTCACTCAAATCACCAACTGGTATTACTGCCACTTCAAAGAAACTCACCTGACTGCTTATTCACAAATCCACTCACTACAAACACAGACATTGTAGTGGCTAAATGGATGCCTTCCTCTCACTTCCTTCTAAACATATGTACATGAGCAAACCTCTTTTTCTTACTAGAATATACTTTCTCTTTCATGCACATACAAATTTACAAAACCCTTTTTTAACTAACAGAAAGTTAAACTTAAAATTCTAAACTCTAAACAATCTTTCTCAAGGACCTTTTTTGCACAGTTTTGTAAATACCCATTTATGTATGGTTTTATATTTGATTATGTATATACTGTATTAAAATTTACCATTGTTATATACCATAGATGAAAGAAAACATAATTTTCTCATTCATTCATGGTAATGTTGGAAAAATAAAATTTTTGTTTCAAATTCTGTTAGTGACCTCAAGGTTAATAAAATATTTTTCATCACCCTAAATGTCATGGGAAGACAGATATTCACAGCATACAAAATGCATATGAGTATAGGATTACCCCACCTTGTCTACCAGGGGACTTCTCTTAATGCCCACTAGGTGGTACTGTATAAAACAGTATAAAAGTAAAAAGTACAAACCCTCTCTCTTCTTTTTTTATTTATCCGCAGTAAGTGACAAGCTGAATTTCATTTTCTTTTGGGAGAGATCTTAATCCCTAAAACATATGCCACATTTCATACAACCCAAAACTATCACAACATTATTTCATGTTCAAAAAAAAAAAGAAGACATTTGATCACAATAATATTTCCACTACAACCTATCATATAAATATATATATATCTTTCCAACACAAGAAAATATCTCTCAATACCACAAATCAATACACTATGAACCAATGACTTCTTAATACCATTACAATCTAACTTAATTTTATTATCTTGTTCTCATTTTGCTCATACTATTTGATCAGATGTATTAATATAATGGACCATTTCCATTCTTGGCTTTTATACACAAAGTGAATAAATGTTGGTTTCATTTATTTTAGAATTGTTGAAATTTTCTACCAAATTTTGTTAGGTTAATCTAAATGGTTTTCAACACAAATATTAACATTATATTCTCTTCTTTGTCTTCCAAATGTTCAGTAACTAAGTCAAGAATAACCTTGTGCCATAGTAACTTGATAACTTAAAAGTCAATATACAACTTCACTTGATCAATGATGTCCTTCATGGGCAAATCCATTAAAAGCATGTCAGATCTAATGATGATTTCTCCTGCAAAGAGGGATGCAAGTACAAATTCTACTGGTGCTGGGCACATTTTTCTTTAATAAGATTCCTTGAATATTCAGGCTGGTAGGCGAAAGTAAAATACTGTAAAAAAACAATAGAAATAAACAGAGAGTCTACTTAAATATGGGCATCCACTAAAAAAATGATTTTTAAAATGATAAAAATATGTGATTAATAAATAAAAATCCATTATTCCTTTAGAGAATACTAACTTGAATAAATAAATGACTTAAATAACTATCAATGAGACAAGGAAATTCAAAAACTTCACCTGATTAGTTAGAAGCAGATTAACACAGACATTTTGTATTGTATACAAATTAAAATTCTATTTTTTTTACTTGAATCTTCATGGTAAAATCTTATCTGTTTCACGTTATTTTATTGTATGACGTAATTAGGTAGAATGCTGATCATATCTAATTAATATCTCAAATTAATTTTGTTCATCTTCCTATGAACCTGAATTTTGATGTAATTTATGTGGCAGTTTCATTCCTAAATTACAATCATTCTTCACTCCCATATTTTGAGTCTTCTCCATTTAATTTCTGCTTATCATGTAAGCAATATTAATAAATTCACCTACAACTCTTGTTTCTTAATCAAATAAATATCAATTCATTTTAAAGTACATCATAAAGGATCTTTTCGTAGTTGCTAATGTTAAGGATATGACAATTTGAATAGTTTTGCGATTGATTCTGATGTTTTTAGTTTTTAATATTGGCAACATGTGAATAGAGAGCTTTTAAAGTTGATCAATAGTGTTTTATTATTTTAACCAAAAGCTACTGGAAAAAAAAACTTTACTTATGAACTGGATAACATAAATTAGTCATTCTGTCACAAATAACATTTTTTTCTTTTTACTAGAAACCAAATCTATAGAAATATTTAAAGGGGTGAGTAGTGACATAAAAACAAACATAAAAGAATCAATTAGTCATTCACTTCATAAAACAGAGAAAGCTAGGTGAGAAACTGTATATATATATATATATATATATATATATATATATATATATGTAGAATTAATACAAATATAAAATTTGTCAATTAGTGTAATATTCTGCGCAAGAGGCTATCGATGCTTGCTAGGCATCGATTAATGCGTTGATAGGATGTTAGGATGGTTGTTGATTGTCCCTCGGGTGATGGTAGCCTCCTATTCCCTTTTTACTGCTAAACTGCTGATTAAGATTAACCGGATGTCAGGAGGGGACCTAACTCTTGTGTCTCTAGGGGTTATCTCCCTTCTGTTGCTGGGATATTACAATGCTTTCCTTTTTTTTTTTTTTTTTGAGAGGGGTTTAGCAATCGAGTCTTTTGGGTGGCCGTCTTGCTCGACCTGTGCGCCTGAGGTTGGGAGTATGTTGTGCCTGGGTGTCTTTAGATTTTGGTGGTGTTGTAGTGTGTGTGTAGTTTTCATCTTCAGATGAAGAGTAATCAAGTGGGTTGTGTGTGGGGCTTGTTGGTGGTTTGGGGATTTTCTTGAAAAAGGTGGCATTTCTTGTAGTTTGGTTGCCCTCATGTGTGACAGTTATCATAGATCCCTTTTTCTTTGTCACAGTCATTAGGTTAAGTTGGTAGGGTGTGAGAGCCTTTGAGATGTGGTTGTTTTTTATAATGACTGTGTCACCCACTCTGAGATCATTGGGTTTCAAGTATGTTTTCCTATCAGCGTATCGTTTCATAGTTGTCTTGGCTTGTGTGTCACGCTCCCTGATGCTGGAGTCTCCATCTATGGGTGTGATCAAGTGTGGCAGGCGGTTTTTTATGGTCCGGCCAAATAGGACTGAGGCCGGGCGTACACCTGTGGTGCAGTGTGGTGTTGTTCGGTAGTCCAGTAGGAATTTGAATAATTCCTGCTTCCAGCTTCGGCCTTTAATTAGGGCAGCCTTGATGGACTTTTTTACAGTGTGCATAAAGAGTTCTGTTTCAGCATTGGCCTGGGGCCACAGGGGTGTTATCTTCCTGTGTTTGAATCCGGTGAGGGAGGCGTAGTCTTTGAAATCGCTGCTGTTGAATGGTGGGCCATTGTCCGTTTTGAGGGATACTGGTACCCCAAACTCCGCAAATATTTTGTCCAGGCGGGGTATCACTGATGTCGTTGAGATGGAGTCTAGGATGTCAACAACAACGTAGCGTGAGTACTCGTCTGTGATGACAAGTAGGTATTTCCCATTTTGGAGGTGTCCGAAGTCAGCGCTGACTTCTGTCCATAGAGTTGCTGGTAGTGGGGACATTTGCAGTGGTTCTCTTGCAGGTTTGTGGGTGCTGATCTGGCAGGTGTGACAGTTCCTGATGTTTTCTTCTACTAGGGCTTGCATGTTTTTGAACCAGACCTTTTCTCGAAGGAGGGCCGTGGATTTCACGATGCCTTGATGTCCAGTATGTGCGATTTGGGTGGCTCTGCTTTGTAGTGTCGTGGGCAGTACTATCCGGTGCCCTTTGAGAATGATGCTGTTGTTGTGTACTAGTGAGAGTTCGGCACGGTTGGCATGCAGAGTTTGGAATGTTGCTTTATCTACATCATCATCAATACCGTACCACTTGTTGGTGAGGAGGGCTTGTATGATGGCTGTGAGTGTCTTGTCCTTTGCGGTTTCCGTTGCGACTTCTTCAATCGTCATTGCTTTGGGGGTTGATGTTGAGAGGATGTAGTTTATATATTCTTCTGCTACTTTTTGTTCTCTGTCACTCAGTGGCAGGTGTATAGGGTGACGGCTGAGGTAGTCAGCTGGGTTGTCATGACCTGGTTGGTATATGACGGTCATGTTGTACGGTTGTGTTCTCAAAACCCAGTGTTCAATGCGTGCCGATAGCTGAGAGCGGATGTTGTTAAAAATTGATGTCAAGGGTTTATGATCTGTATGCACAGTAAATGGTGCTCCGTAAACGTATATATGGAAATGTTCACATGCCCATGTGATAGCGAGGGCTTCACGTTCTGTTTGGGAGTATCTTTGTTCAACTGCGGATAATGCTCGGCTTGCAAATTGTACTACCTGTCCACTTTGTGACAGCACGGCAGAGACGCCTACGGGGCTAGCATCGTGTATATCTCAGTGTGTTTGTTCGGGTCATGAGTGAGCATGCTTTGCTCAAGGCATCCTTGATTTTTTTTAAGCATTCACTGTGGCATTCAGTCCAGGACCACTGAGTGTTTTTTTTCGTTAGTTGACGTAGGTCGTGAGTCAGGGTCGCGTAGTTTGGAATGAATTGTGCACCACAGAAGTTAGTCATCCCCAACAAGCTTCTGACTTCTGATGCATTTTTAGGGTTGGGTAGCCCAAGGATAGTTTTTATTTTGAGGCTGCTTGGGCTAATGCCTTTGTTGCCAAAAGTGTGTCCGAGGAATTCCAGTGACCTTTTGTTGTACTCACATTTGCTGCCATTGAGGGTGAGACCTTTTTCGCGAATTCACTGGAATATTGCGCGAAGGTTTTGGTCGGGGTCCTGCTGGTCTGATCCAAAACAGAGGATGTCATCACTGATGTTGATGGCTCCATTAATCCCTGCAAGTGTTTGACTGATTTCTTCCTGGAATATCTCACTGGCGGAGTTGACACCAAAGAATAGCCTTTTGTATCTGTATAGGCCGAGGTGTGTCACAAAGGTTGTTATGTAGCGGGACTCTTCAGCTAGTTCCAATTGGTTGTAACCTTGATTGAGGTCTAATTTGCTGAAGATATTAGCTCCTGATAGAATGGTTTTCAGTTCATTTAGTGTGGTTGGGTGCCGTTTCCTTTTAATGGCCTTGTTCGCTGCTCTCATATCAATGCACACTCTGATTTTGTTTTGGGAGATACCCGATGGGAGATTGGGGTTCTTCTGCTTTTTTTCAATAACCCCTAGTTTCTCATCTTTGTATATTTGTTCTTCCACCCCACGTGGAAGGGGATTCTATCTCTGGGCAACAGGTGGTATGGTTTCATCTATGTGTAGGTGAACCTTTTTCCCTTTGAGTTTACCTAAGCCATTGAAGAGGTCTGCATGGTCATCCAGAAGTTTAAGGGTGGAGGGAGGGATTTGTGTGTCAGAGTCACTGATATGGTTGATGGAGAGTTTGTGTGTGGATAGCAGTCCTAGCCTTTTGCATGTCTCCCAGCCGATGATGGGCTTTTCTGGGCTCTTTATCACATGTATGTCGGCCTGGCAAGCGGTGCCCATGAATTCTAGACATATGTTGAATCGGCCTAGGGCTGGGGTGGTTTCCTTTACACCAAACCCAGATATTACCGTTTTTGTGGGTCGGAGGTGGGGTGCTGGTCTCAAACGTTTGAAGTCTGCCTCAGACAGGATGTTAATGGTGGCACCTGAGTCGGCTAGTGCGTTGAACGTCTGGCGGCTATAGCCAAAAGACACGTTAAAGCAAGGAAGGTTTTTCATCTTACCTGTGTGGAACACGTATTCTGTATCACTACCGCTGCTACGTGGGTTCCGTTGATCGTTTTCTATGCGGTTCACTGAGCGTCGATTGGTCTGTGTTCGTGGGGGGACGATTTGTTTCCGTTGTCTGTTTCCGTCGTTTAATCTTCTGAAACAGACAGAGGTGAAGTGTCCCCACACTTTCCGCAGTATGTGCACTGGGTATGAAATGCAGGGCAAAACGTCGGTCCCCGCTCATGAGGGTATTTTCCGTTGCAATTCCTGCACTGGTATTGCCGGGGATAGTTGCTTGGTTGGCGCTGTTCGTCCGCAACTTTGTTTATTAGGGCGGTTGTAGCAGTAGCGGTGTTGTTGTCTTCCAGTCGCATTGTTTGTAGGTGCGACGCTATCGTCTCCATTGTCCTTGCGTAGTTTATTAAGTCATGTAGTGACATATCTGAGTTCATGAGTCCCTTCTGGTGGACTTTTTCCAACAGCCAGCCTGTAATTAATTGGGACTTCACCTCGGAATCCATGTCGGAAAAACGGCACATAGCCGCAGCTTCCTTTAGTTTGCGGTAGAAGTCTTCGATGCCTGGGCTATTTTGTTTAATTTTTCGGAACAGGAATCGGTTGTATTCCGTGTCGTTTTCAGGGTTGAAGTGGTTGTGCACTGCTGAGACAAGCTTGTCAAAATGTGTTTCATTTTTTTCCGGTGTGACTCGCTCCTGTGGTATTTCCTCGATGATGTCATTCGTAGCCTCGCCGACAAACGTTAGTAAGATTGCTTTTTGCCATTTGTCATCCTCAATGTTATGTGTGACAAAATAGTTTTTCAGTCTTTTTACGTATTTTGTCCATCTTGCTGCTTTGGCTGTTGACTCACAATCAAATTCAGGGTAGTGTGGTACGGCGGCCATATTGGTTATATATTGAACATGTGTTGAATTTTTTTCTTTTTTTTTTTTTAAAGTGTGTTGATGTTCTGTTTTTGTGAGGGTAATGACTCAGTCCTCGTCGCCAATGTAATATTCTGCGCAAGAGGCTATCAATACTTGCTAGGTATCGATTAATGCGTTGATAGGATGTTAGGATGGTTGTTGATTGTCCCTCGGGTGATGGTAGCCTCCTATTCCCTTTTTGCTGCTAAACTGCTGATTAAGATTAACCGGATGTCAGGAGGGGACCTAACTCTTGTGTCTCTAGGGGTTATCTCCCTTCTGTTGCTGGGATATTACAATTAGCTGATTGATGTTATATACAGCACTTTGATGCCAGAGATTCGTAAATGAATCTTTTTACCATTGTTCTGTCCACTTGTCAAAAGGTATCAGCAATCAACTGTAGATTTTCTCATTTTTGTTATTTTTATACTAAGTTAAAAAATTAATTTATGCACTCTTTGTGTGTGCATGTGTTTGTGTACACATGTGGGTGTGCGTATGTGCATGTGTGTATGTGTGTGCGTGTCAAATGTTGTGGTTATTTCATCTTTAAATCATTTTCTTATCTCTTTACACTCCCTCCCTCTCTCCTCTCTCTCTCTCTCTCTCTCTCTCTCTCTCTCAATTTCTTTGCCTGATTTTTTCTCTCTTTTGGCTCTGAGTGTCAAAGATAATGCAACAATGTCATTTCCAGTATCACAGATAGGATTTTTTTGGTTTTTGATGTAATTCGTTTTCATGAATGTTCTGGAGTTTTCTTAAGTTAGAGTTATTTGTGGAATATAGGTATTATTTTTTTTTTTTAAATTATTTCTTTATTTATTTTAATTGTTGTTTAATTGGCAAAGTAGATGCTCTGTTTATATGTCTGCACTTCCTCATGTTTCTTATTTAGTAGCTTGTAAATAAGATGAAATAAGAGTCTTCGCTGAAGACATAAACAAATATTTACTTTGCCATAAAGAATTACTAATTATTTAAACAAGAAATAAATAAAAAATAGAATATATATGTATTACTCAAACTTAAGAAAACCTCAGGATATTAGAGAAAATGAATTACCCTAACGAAAAAGTTCTGTCTGTGATACCTGAAATGACATTGTTACACTATCTTTGACATTCAGAATTGAAAGAGAGAAAAAAGAAGGAAAAGGAACAGGGAGAGAGTGCAAGGAGACATGAAAATGATGAAAAGGAGGAATAACCATGACATTTGACATATACATACATACAAACACACAAACACACTCACATAAACACATGCACACAAAAAGAGAAAAAAATCAACTCAACACCAATAACTAGCACATAAATTATTTTTTAACTTAGAATAAAAATAATGAAAATGAGAAAATCCGCAGTCAATTGCTGATAGCTTCTGACAAGTGAACGAAACGATTAAAAAACGTTTTGTGCATCTGGAATCAAGTTGCTGAATATAACATCAATCTGCTAAATGACAAATTTTATATTTCTATTAATCCTATTAATGCTCTATCTCTGATATCGAGCACTTTATTGCAAAGTCAGCTTGCTTGTATGTCCTTTTTTTCAGACTTCCACTGACTAACAACATTTCTGACTTTATACTATCTTTTGTTATCAGTATATATATATATATATATATATATATATATATATATATATATATATATATATATATAATGCTGCAGGTGTGCTGGTCATGTTTAGGTAGAAAACACTTGTCTCCTGGTATATTTTTCCCACAACAATTATTGCAGACTTGAATGTGAGTCCCGTTAATAAATGAATAAAGTAACAACAAAACTATGTACAAACAAATGACAGGGTATGCATTAATAAAACAATAGTTTTAGTAATAGTTTTTAGTGAAGTAAAGTGGGGTAACCTACTATATATATATATATATATATATATATATATATATATAAAATACAAATCAAATTACATTAAATTATTAGAATTTAATATATTTCAAGGAAAGCAGAATTTTTGCCAAGTAAGTGCTTAATAAAGAAGTAACTCTAGTGAAAATAGTCAATAAATCAATAAAGATTCAAATGACTTATCATTAGACTAGCATCAAAGTTTCATGGATCTTTAGGATTAAATAAATGTATTGAATTTATACTCTACATTAGAAATGCTAAACATAGGCTCTAAACAATTTTCAAATTTGTACTATGCTAAGGGCTATTAACAATGTAACAACATGTAAATATTCAAAAGCGTTATAACATGATAATATGTGTGTGTGTGTGTGTGTGTGTGTGTGTGTGTGTGTGTGTGTGTGTGTGTGTATAAAACACAATAGGTAAAATTAAAAGTGTGTTTAAATAAAAATAAAAGAGAATTTTGAAAATTGTTGACATGACGTTTATTGAATAACATAGCATTTTGTTCCAGTTTCCCAGCTATCTTCAACCATTGTCAGAACAAAACTACCTGGGTTGTTTTTTGTAGTCTTACAGAGGACTGAGATTTTTTCATTAAATCTACTCAGAATAAATTAAGGTTGTTTATTTTCATCAACAACCTTCCTGATGGCATCAGTTCTCAACTCAGTAATCTATGCTGATGACACAACCATTTATTCCTGTCTTAATAGTAAGTCTAATCAGTTCAATAAGGTCAAATTAACAGCTGATCTAAAAAATGATCTACAATCTGTTGTTAACTGGGGCAAGGAATTAAGTGTAATGGCTCCAAATTGAAACGGCTTTCTATTAATTGTCTGAGAGAATCTTTTCTGTCTTCCATCAGCATGGCTGATGCTAGCCTCCAGGAAAGTGACTCATTTTCCATTGACATGACATCATTTGCTAGGTCTGCTGCTAGGAAAGTTAGCTTAATATGTTTTGCTAAACAATTTTTTCAATTGGATCAATCTTAGCTATTTATCAACCACTCATCCATGCCGTGAATATTGCTGCCACATATGGTCTGATACTCTCTTATATAGAGATCCTTGCAATCTGCAATGTTATTGGTCCTGATCTGACATCTCAGCTTCAGTCATTTTTCCCATTGTAGCTTCCTTGCGCCTTTCATATAAATACTTTCATGGTAGTGGTTCTGATGAACTTTCCTCTATGGTACTTAGACTTTTTGAATTTAGGTGTGGTACTTGATTGGTAACAAGGTCTCCATATTTTACAGTTGGAATGGTGAGGAGAACTTCTTTTCTTGCACTTCTCACTTAGGAAACTATCTTCTGGCTTCTTGTTTTTTAGTCTTCAATTTTGATCTTCAATAATTTAAATGCAATGTCAAGTGATATCTTCTGTCTTCTTAATTTCTATTCTTTTATTGTTCTCACTCCTTAATAATGTTTTTTCTGTTTCTTATATTCTTTCACACTCAGTACCCCACCTGTGTCTTAATGGCTTTATTGCCTTGCTTGGAGTGAAATGATTAAAAATAGCTTCAGTATGTGGCGAATATAGTTAATGAATTAAAACTTTACACCTATTAGCCAAGCTATAACAATATTGCCTTGTCAGTAAAAAAATAGGTAATGTAGCCTGATCCACATTGAACAATATACCCTTTTGAACATTTTTTTGTTGCTGATTTGTGTCATCAGTTGTTCTAATTAAGAGAGGTACCTGTTTGATAATATTAAAATAAAATGCATGCTGATAAAATCAAAAGCAATTTTTTTGTGAAGTAAGTTAAAAATGCTATCACACAACAAAAACAGAAAAAAAACTGTTTTGGTCAACATAGTGTCTTAGTAAAAACATAATTATTAATATTGAATTAACAAAGAGAACCTGTTTTTTATTGAACATAAAATTGTGCAATACATCCAAGTTTTTTTAAAGAAAAATATTCATTTTAATTAACATTGCTTTACCTGGGTGTGTATTTTGACCAATCTTTTTATAAAGCTCTGGGGTGTACTATTTTCTCTGTTTTATGAAAGAGATAAGTCATGCTTAAAGATGCTGCCTTTTCAATGACTAAGAACATATTTTATACATTTATTGTATATTTGAAAAATGGAAGTTAGACAAGATTTAAATTGGATTGTGATAAAGTTCAATAAAAAGAACAATTCAAACAATATTTAGAATTTACAATTTTAATACAAAATATAAGAAAGAAACAAAAATAAATGCTAAAGGAGTTAGAATTTTAAAAATATAGTATTTTGCATGATTTCAAAGCAGAGTCTGGATATAACAGGAGTTTGAGTTTTTGGCTGAAATGTTGATTTTATTTTTATCTGTAACAATAATTATTTTCCTTATTAGTTGGGAAAATAACACAAATTCCGTACTTTCAGTTTATAGTAGTGAGTTTGCATTTGTGCATTTTCTTTTCAGTGGTAGGTGCCACAATGTCTGTTAAACTTATCATTTAATTTCCGTCTCATAATGTCAGATTTGTTTATCAAGATTCTACTCACTGACATGATATATAAAAAATGTTTTATGAAAGAGATAAGTCATGTTTAAAGATACTGTCTTTTCAATGACTAAGAACATATTTTATACATTTATTGCCTACATTTTTGTTAAACATTTTATCTAA